GATTTTCTACAGTGTCAATTGGACCTATCTGTTATATGCTCTGGTACATGACTGTCTGGATTCTAAATACATTCGATATTACATATTTAAAAATCCTTTAAAAGCAATTACTTAGTTAAAACAGGGATAATTCATCAAGTGATTTCAATATTAAAATATGGGGAAAGATAATAAACTAGATGCAAACAAAAGGAAATAAAGATATGTGGTGAAGAAAATAAGGTTGTTTGTAATAATACACTTGTAATTTGTTAAAGCGCTAAGTGAGTTTTTTAATAAGGTTGTCATAGTTTTTGTAGATTTATAATATTGCCTAGGCGTTCAAATTTGGTCATAAAATTGTCTAAGAACTACTCTACAATTGCAGGAGTCGGACTTTTTTAATAACTGGTAGTCATGACATGATTAAGTACGAGTTGTTTCCTTGAAATCTCAAAGACAATATATGCCATGTGAGAGATTGTGTATTTTTTCAACCTCCACAGATGAATAATTCTTAGAAGCACATCACATGACTAACTCCTTTACTAGTAGGTAGTAACGAAAATGTAAATAAGCTTAAGAATAAAATTAGTTAATAAGATTAAGCTTGAATACCGTATACACTTGGAAGTCAATAAGATGTTATCTTACATATAAAGTTAACAAACAGTGTGTGCTTACATCAAACAACATGAGATAAATTTACTGAAAGTTGAATCCAAAAGGCTATAAAAGATATAATTAAAGATAATTTGTAGCAACATACACCTGTTTTACACCACGGACTAATTCACTTTAAATAGAAATATATTTAAATGGTATTCAGGCTGTTAGTTCAAGTCAGCAAAATATCAGTTATAGCCTTTTATCTAAATATCACTTTGGTTACAATCTAATTGTTTACCTATTTATGATATTGACTGTGATACATAATAACACAGTATATAATAAACACTGAATATTTACTAGAATAAAGACAATAGAATATTTCAGTTTTTCTTTATGTTTAGCCCCTGATAATTAATTGGATATGATTCATTGGACATCATATCTTTTGACTACAGATGAAAATGAATTTCTTTCTAGCAGTAACTTATCTTTATTTAACATTATAAAAGCCATGTATCATTTATTGACTAGCATTAAACTATAAATAAAGCATTACACTTGATAGGTATAACAAGAAACAGTAATTATTTATAGATTACTAATCAACTGTATAGAACTTACTATAAAAGATATTATGATTTATACTAAATTGACATATATATATATATATATATATATCTCGCGAGGCGGGATCGTGGATGCGAACTGCTGAGGAGTCCCGCAATAGGACGAAACGGCCATCCAGTGCTTCCAAGTTTTTGATGGTGGTCTAACTTCAATTGACTTATGATTTCAACTATATATATATTTCTCAGAAAATCTTGTGCTTAAGAGATTGAAATCTTTGTTTGTTACTTGCACAGTACAATATACAAATTAGACGTTCAGTTCTAAGGTGCACGTTCTGGTTAAATTATAACTAGTCAATTTCATCGTATTAGTTTTATGGTTTTTACAGTCTATTCTATATATTTATACTAATATCTGATATTTTTTGTATTCAATTTACAGATTAGATATACACTGAAAATGTGAAGAATATACTTAATCATTTAAGGTAGTTAAATACAGTCAACTAACATAAACACTTTTTTCACTAATTCAGGTTCTTTTGAACTGCCGCCAAAATAAAAAGTTTAATTAGATATCTTTGATTACTACTACTAAATATATATGTTTGAATATGTTATATGAAATTAAAACAACTTAAATTACTTCTATAAAAAGCTTCAAATTAATTGAGTAGTATAAAACATAAAAATGATTTGTAGAAACATCACTCTTTGTGTTTAATCAATAACTTTAAATACGCAAGATTGGTAGGTTCTGAGTTCAAATCTCGCGGGGCAAGGTCGTGGATGCGCATTGCTGAGGAGTCCCACAATAGGACGAAACGGCCGTCCAGTGCTTCCACGTCTTCCACAGTGGTCTAGCTTTAATCGACTCATGATTTCAAATATACATAATATAGATCATAATTTGTTTAAAATATATAAAAATCTATGAAAAGATACATTCTATCTACTATAATGTTAAATAAGTAATAAAATGTATCCATTTAATAATAATGAAATAAATAGATAAGGTGAATATTCAACTTTCCCCTAGCGACATCTACAATATATATAGGCGTCTAAATAAGAAAGGAAACTTATCCCTATATTATCATTTTTAATTAGTTAACAGATAAAGGTAATTCTTTAACTGATTAAGATTTGTCATCGGTAAATTCAATTGATTTTTGAAAATTAAATAAAGGAAATACTTAAAAATTTTCATTGTATATTATAATGGATAACAAAAATTATTGGGCCCATAAGTAAACTAACAAAACCACAGAAAAAAAATTATGCCTTTTATTTCACCGGAAAATAATGAAATTACTTAAATGGAGTTTTGTTCTCTGACCAATCTATCCAGCTCTGAGATTAAAACTTCATCTAAATCATCCACCTGAGCTATAAATCTTCTATACCATCTCAATGTATTGTATTTTGTTGTTGTTGATGAAATTATGTGAGTAGATGTAAAGCTACTTTGTAAATAATACTGTGGTGTATGCTACTTATATCGACATAAATAGTATATAATGATAGTCAAGAATAGAATGTCTAGCAGCAAAATTTCAAGAAGATCAAGAAGGAGAGAATGGACACAGAAAGCAATAGGTATGGAAATGTAGGAACAATGAAGTTTGAGACCACTGACTGATATTTTCGAAAGGAACAGTCAAGTTTGAGACAGCTGATTGACATTTTACTAATAAAGTATTTGTTATATTGTTCTCAGATTTTAGTAAGATGTTCTGTAATATTGTTTTCAAATACATTCGATTGTCCCAACTTGTGGTCTCGTTCACTACAATACAATACGATGAAATAGGTATCGGAATAACCCTGTTTTTACCTTAAATTGTTCATGTGCTCTTATTGTTTTTTCATTTATTGTCGATACTCGATTATTTACAAGTCAGTGAATTTTTGCTATTCTTTAATATTGGTTTTAATTTTGATCTTTATCAAATATCATTGTTCATTTAAAGATAATAAAATACTTCTTGTTCATTTTCTTTATTTAAAAAATTCTTTAATTATAATTATTTTCACTTATTTCATTCCTTACCCCCGGGATTTCAGATCATTACTTAAAGTTCCAAACGTATTTATTCAAAGTAGAGTGTTCTCTGGTTAAACAAATTGTGGCTTATTATTGTTTACATGCTTTGAATAGATACTCCTACTGATAAACTCAAATACTTGATTTACTTTAAACCAACTTAGTTATGGTATGTATCATGATCAAGTATATCTCAACTAAAGCCATGCTAAAGGACAAATAATTGGAACTTATTCACTGAAGCACCATACTAATCATCTAATTACTTTAGTTTGCTCAGTATATATTATTGATTGGTTTATGCGTTTATCGTAAACGTATTCTGAATTTTTTAAAAACACGAGGTTCAGCGAAGGGATCTCTTTTCAACAAATTTATTATCAAGCTGTACAATCGTATACATATATATGAAAATGTTTTGTTAAAGTACTAACTCCATGAGGAAATGTGAACACGAATAACCAAGATTATAATACTAGATTACGTAATACGGGCAATAACAATAGGTTTAGTGAATATAAAAAGATGATTAAAATGAATAAAATGTTTTTGTTACAATAATTAAAGGTCACTAAAGGTCATAGAGGTGTAAAATATGATGATATGATATGATGAGTATTCATGAATAAAATAATGAGCAGCCTACGTTTTACATAGTGCATACAATCTCGAGTCACTAAAACTAATTGCTAGAGCGTGACTTGATAGACGCAACACGATCAACACTAAGAAAACTAGACAAGCGTGACGTTGACCGCTACTCCCTAGTTAGTTAATGAAGACTACTTCTTGCTGAAAGTTATGACAAACAGTTTTCATTATAGTTGTGTCAGTGGCATATTTATATCGGTCTGCTGTATTTTGATTTCGGTGCATTTCGGTGGTCTATGTTGTAATATTAATAATAGTAATAATAATAGAATGATAATAATAATATTAAGGCCATGGTAACGATAACGATAAGACGTGATAAGAGATTCGGCTACTTTTCGGAGTTGGATATGGGGAAATCCAAATAGATTTGAATGAATCATATAAATAACCTTAAAATCAGACTGCGGATTCGTAGAATGAATAAAGCCTATTAGGTGTTCAAGTAAACAACTCCTAACTGCTTTCCTTTCACCCTTGTAGAACCAAACTGGGATATGTTCTCGTATACGAATTGAAAGGGAGCGGAAGATGTACCTTGCTCCACAAGAGCAGGTGAACTGGTAGATGCGTTAACTTTCACCAACAGTACCTACTGTAACGTGAGATATCCTGTATGAAACTGGTAATAGGATTCTGATATTTCTATGTATTTTTAAATTTTCACTTGATTAGTAAAATATATTTCGTAGTTTTATTTTACGTGCTCTGTGCTTTAATTTTACCAAATATTTGCTGTCAACGTTTAAATACGACTTATTATAATACAAAGAGTAGTTGCTGTTTCTATGCACATTACAAAGAGTAAATATATGCTTTACTTTAGATTAAAATTTTACCCAAATTACTCATATACTTAACTATAATTAACCTATAAATCATTTAAACAAAGATGGATAGTAACTAACAGTGGAATCCATGACGCGCGTTTCGTCCCAATTGGGGCTCGTCAGAGTTGATGTTCACTCCCGAAACATCAATGTGAAGATTTCTGCAAGTAATACTAAATGAATATAAATCAATTAGTTATTCTCATTTTTCTTAATATTGTTTATCATTTTTAACATTTATTTATGAGTATTTCTTATTTCATTACATATAAATCTTAAAATATTTTTTATTCTAATTTTTTTCTTGTTTAGGTTATGGTCATGCTACTCCAAAAACAAATTTAGGCAAATTTATGACAATTATTTATGCATTAATTGGTATACCTTTAATGTTTTTATATCTTTCTAATATTGGTGATTATTTAGCTGATATATTTCGTGTAATTTATTCACGTACATGTAGAACAAGTTGTGAACGATTTTGTTCTGCTTCACTATTTAATAATAATCATAATATGAATAATAAACAAATAGAACAAATGAATCAATTAACAAATAATAATAATAATAATAATGAACTAGTTGATAATGATCCAACTGTAAATCCAGTACATTCACATGATCGTCGACGTAAACGTATCCTACTTCCACCGTTCCATACAAAAATGAGTGATTATGATACTTCTATGAATATTACTAATAATAATAATAAAGTTAATTGTACAAATGAAAAAACAAAAAGTGAACCAGTCAATTTAAATGAAATTGACAATAAAACAAACATAACAACAAAAGAAGTAACAAAATCCCCAAAATCAGGATTAAATAATAAGAAAATAGAACTATTTCATCATTTAAAAAATAAACAATTTTTTATAAAATTTTTAAAATATTCTCAAAAATCTCGTGATTACATTAGAAAATCTTGTGTGGTACCATTTTTTCGATCAGATCATTCAAATGCATTAACTCAAGTAAGTGGATGCCGATTATTGTTATTCATATTATTTTTAAATATAATAACATTTAAAGAATCAAAATACTTTTTCATTCCTATTTTATAAATATACATTAAAAAAAAAATTAATCAGGGTACTTTAATTTTTAGTTTGGAATCGAACCCAAGAACTTTGATCTTGCGTGCGAATCCTTAACCTCTAGACCACTGAGCTGATATTTTATATTGTGAATGTTTAGTCTCGATCAATCCACAACATTACATGACTATTTTACATTGTCAGTTCATTGTCCTTCCTATCATTTTGAAGATTGAATCTGTTAAAAAAATTCTTATATATATCCATCTATCTATCTTTCTCTGTCTCTATCTGTCTATTCATATAGCTATCTATCTATATCTACAGCATTCAGTGCATCTATAAAAGTAAAAAGTACTTTTGTTTCGAGGTTTTACATCTTAGAAATAAACTACAACATGATATATCCCTCCTAGATCATAAGTGTAGCTAGAAACAATGAAAGGGTCATTATCTTTATAAAGTGTTGGTGAGATTATAATTTATGGACGACTTTTGAGCGATCTTTAAGTGACGTAGAGAATGTCCATCTACTTACCAGGCTGAAACGAGAGTATAAATTAGTTAGGATTAGAATTTACAATTAGGTGTTAGAACTAAGAATCATCTATATTACTAAAATGCTATTTAGTTATATGGATGAAAGAATTTTACTCCAAAATGCAAGGCTTATTATCTTAAATCTGATTGATTAGTCTACAAATTATAGTCTCGCTAAAATTTTGGTAAATTTATGGAGACCAGATGTCAGCTTGAGAACTTTTTAAGGGTGTTGAACAATAAATTCTAATATCACTGGATAAGTTATTCATGGGATTTTGATTTAGGAATTTAAAATACAGTGCTTCCTTTCCCAGTGGTCTAAATTTCCTGGGTTCAGTTACGCATTGTATCAAGTGTGTACTGGCATTATAATTTCCAAATTTGTACACTACATATCAGATGACTTACATAATAACCGCATGAGATATGATCATTTATTACAGTTAATCTAAAATTGACCGAATCACTAATCTAGAGACATTATGAAGAATTAATAAACGTTAACTTGTCTGAGAAAACAGTAATCATGAAGAAGATGCACAACATAACATACATGTATATCAGCAAATTAAATGTTCACAGTTCAACCGTAAATGGATGCATATAATGATCAGGTGTAGTATCATTTCAATAATTCCCTAGTTCATATTCATTTATAACAAAAACTTATGTGAATTAGAACCAGTCCTTATAAGCAATTCAATTGAAGGTCTATGTTGATTTAGTTGTAATTTATTTAACTGAAATATACTTTATTAAATTGTATTTTTATCAGAAAGGGGTTTTTGTGGACGTTATAGTAATTTATTAGTTGAGTTCATGAGTCAATTAAAGTTAGACCACTATGGAAAAACCTGGAAGCACTGGACGAATGTTTCATCCTAGTATGGGATACCTTACCAGTGCACATTCATGGGTTCGAATTCCGCGAGCGCGATCGCGGAAGTGTATTTTAACAAAATATTTTGATTTTTTGAATACACAAAGTACATAAATTGTAAATAAGTACTACTAGGCACAAAACAAATTATAAACAAGCACATGGTAAGCAAACCAATCTTGATTAGGTTACTGTGTATATGTAGATTCGTAGTTACGAAAAGATCAAATTAAGATCAAGTTCATGTACTCCTAATTTTTGGCGAAGATTTATCATAGTTATTCCTTTGATTGACTTTATAGTGTGTTCTATGAACGTTTTCATTAATAATGATATTATGTTTGGAGCTTATAAGAAATGTTTTGTAATATGATTGAACATATGACATCGATGTATAAAATTTATTTTCTGAAAGCATGTATTTTTTAGTAAAGAAACTTTCTGGTACAAGGCAGATTGGATATATCTAGTCAATTTGATATCTACTGTCTATTAACTGTCCAAGAATATAGTTTCTTATATTTTTTGCCTATTCTTTACATTCAGTCAAAGAATATTATGTTCATAAATTCTATTTTGAGTTTTATTAGTTATAAGTGAAGTGTAATTTACTTCATGGAAGCAAGTAAATTGTTAGATAAACATAAAAAAGACAAAGATTTGAGTCGTAACATTTCGATGTGTACATTAGGCACGCAAATAAAAAAAAATGCTTATTTGTGTTGAGTAACAGCCATACCAGTGATATGTGTTGCGTTTAATTTAGGCTTATAGTTTAATGGGGGGGAAGCAAATGTAAAACGACTGTTTCAGAAATAAATATTCTCTGTTTCACATATCGACCTATGATAAACGTACGTTTTCGATGTTACTTAGTTTTAAAATGTATTTAGAAAAATAATATTGCACCAAGTCGACTGTTTTATAAAATATGTAGGCATTCCTGAAACGAATGAGATATTTATACCAAAAGGAATAGTCTTAAATACTATCAAACCTGAATCTATGAGGCCAAACAAGGGAAGAAATATCGTGACTTTAGATAATTAAATGCTCATTATGCCTGATACTGCTTAATTTCAGGCAAATTATCATAAAAGTTTGTTAAAAAGAGATTTAGAGGTCATACTGCTATTTTAAATAATCTCGGACTTCCATAATTAATGATGAACTTTAATTTTTTTAAATCCAGTCTTTATAAAGTTAGATTGAACTGTACAAATATCCCTTTATGTAGAATAAGTATATGTATCTAATGAATAATTCATTTATTATCGCACAATAGTAAAATAGAATATTAACTCTTGTTTATATAAACCGCAGGGGTCGATGTTTAAACACCAAATCATTCGTTGCTTTACAACTATTTGATTGACAGTTTTATGCAGAGATAAATATTCATCATGTGATAACATAGTTTAATCATTGAAATAAGTCACCTTTTTATGAACCGCTTTAAATTAGGTCGTTTACAACTACAGCTCTATTTCTTTCTCATTGTTCAATGCTTTACTATGTCAGTTGTTTCATTTTACCTTACATTCTGAACAAGTTTAATGGTAATTTGGTGTTATTTACTACAGGACATGACAGCAGTACGGAATAATTGCATCTATCAATCAAAGAATTTGAATAAATCTCTCTTCAATTTACTAACAAGCGTTATTTCGGACAATGAAACTTCAAATGGTTATCAATAACATTAAAGATAATTTAAGGACAATTTTCGATTGACGTACCTTAGTGTAACTAAGCAACAAAATGAACAACAACTAAAAATATTAAGTGAATAGTATTCACATCAATAATGTTTAATAATAACTAACTATATATTGAGAAATTCTCGGTGTAGTGAACAGAACACGGGTTGGGACAATCGAATGTATTTAAGTACAAATTACAGACTATCTCACTAAATTCTGATAATCATACAATGAACAGTAAATTTGCAAATTAACAACCAACTATCTCAATCTTCACTGTTCCTTCTGTAAATATCAATCCATCTTCTCTGATTTCATTGTTCATGCATTTTCGTACCGATTGCGCTTCATTTCAGTTCTTTCCTTATCGGTCTTCTGCCAAAATACGTTCTATGTCTGACCATCACCATATACTACTAATGAGGATATAAGTAGACGACACTACATCAGTAATATACTAATATTAATTATCAGAAATTTTTTCTTCACTGTTATAAAACAATTATCATAGGTTATGTAAATGGTTTATTAAACCGTGAGAATAATTAAAAACGATTCACTGATATATCAAGTCAGCTAGAATAAGCTTGAGTTAAAAATTGAAAAAAAACTAATTCAATGAATGTACATTTAGAAATTAACCAAATCACAGAATTAATCAGTGTTTGTCCACATATTGTAGTGTCGGTTGATATGTTAAGCCCATATACCTTATTTTAGCTTCTGGACAAGCCAATTTACCTATCCATCATGAGTCATGTTTTGACCTTGTTAATTATTCACTTATTAATCCTAACTATTTTTGATATGAGCATATGTGTGTACACTTTTTATCATGCTAATCATATACCTGTTATGTATTTTTAACTGTTCATAAATATTGATTAACGTTTGATTGAAGCGAGTTAGCTTACGTGCCATCTCCATTGTGTGTCATTTTTGCTTCGCTCGCTGATATTTTCTAATGTGATTATAGCTTTCTAATCTGAGTTATTTGACAATAAACTGTAGTTGCCGCTTCTCTTTGCCTTCTGATTTTACGCACCGTTAAGATTTGTATTATAACGGTTATCGAGGTGAATGATTAGTGAAGCACGACACAACAATATATTAAATATTGTATTTCATAAAAGTAATACATTAAGTTGATTTATAAACTAAAATGATATTATCAGAAGGGGTTTTGTGGAGATTTTAGTAATTTTCTTATATAGTTGAAATCATGAGTCAATTGAACCTAGACCACCATCGAAAACCTGGAAGCACTGGACGTCCGTTTCTTCCTATTATGGGACTCCTCAGCAGTGCGCATCCACGATCCCGCACTCGCGATATTCGAACACAGGACCTATCAGTCTCGCCCCAGAACACTTAACCGATAGACCACTGAGCCGTCATCCAACGGTGTTAATGTCTAACTTTAACCAATCCACGAAATTGAGCAACCATTCACCAATTGTCTTCAATGAGTAACTATCTTCCAACAGACCTCGTTGAACTCCACTGGTTACTGCTTCTCAATAGAACTCTGGGAAATACTTCATGGAGCCAGTCACTAATGAGCATGGTGGTCTAGCTTCAATTGACTCATGTTCTCAACTCTATAAAATGATATTAAGTAGCAATCAGTAATTGATCAATTACAATGTTAAACATCAATGAGAAAATTCAGGTAGCTAATATAAATACTGAGGAATTGAGTTTGTTTATTTCGTAAATTTTTTAAAAATTTATCTTATTTATATAAATGAATCAGAAAAAAATAATTTACTTGATAACTATTTAAATAAATTATAATTTAAAACTGTTTC